ATTTATATGTATAACTATATATCTCATCAGTTCTGACGTCGCTGATCTCTGAGTTTTTCGTGAACAGATGTTTATACGTGGTTAAATCTACCTTATCGTACAGAGAGTCTCCCGACACCGACAGGTCTTTGAGTCGAGTGTTGAAATGTTGAATCTTATCCTCGTTGGCCACGACTCTCCACGCCAACGATTTCTCTGTGGTGTTTTCTCCTCCAATCCCAGGTAACCTTCCTCCTGTTCCTCCCCTGTTCCCTCCTCCTGGAATTACTCCTCCTCCCCAGGTTCCTCCCTCTCCTCGGTCACCTCCTCCTCCTCCTCCCCGGCTTCCTCCCTCTCCTCCTCCTCCTCCCCMGCTTCCTCCAYCTCCTCCTCCTCCCCCCCAGCTTCCTCCCTCTCCTCGGTCACCTMCTCCTCCTCCTCCTCCCCGGCTTCCTCCATCTCCTCCTCCTCCTCCCCAGCTTCCTCCCGCTCCTCGGTCACCTCCTCTTCCTCCCTCGCTTCCTCCATCTCCTCCTCTTCCTCCCCAGCTTCCTCCCGCTCCTCGGTCACCTCCTCCTCCTCCCTGGCTTCCTCCCTCTCCTCCTCCTCCTCCCTGGCCTCCTCCCTCTCCCCCTCCTCCACAGCTGCACTGCTCCAGCCTCCGGATGATGAGGGAGGTGTTGTTTTCCAGCTTCAACAGTGTCTTGTCCTGGTCGCTCACCCGGTTCTTCACCAGCCCCACGTCCAGCTCCACATCTGCGATCCTGAAGGCCTGGTCATCAAACCGGTCCAGGAACACCGTCCTCAGGTCCGTCACTTCTTTATGGACGTAGTCTTTCAAGTCGTTCTCCAGGTACGAACAGCTCTGCTCGGTCTGCTGCACTGTGTTGTTGACCCGCCGCTCCACGTCTCTTAGGCGATTGTCCAACATGTCCTCAGTCACCACAACATCTCTTCCACGTCCACCGATTCCACCGCTGCCACCAAACCCTCCTCCTTGGGTCCCAGTGTTCTGACTGTTGCCGCCTCCTGCTCCCCCGAGCGTCTTATCCAGGCGGTTCTGTAGGACGTCGAAGTTCTCTGAGGCCGAGCTGATCTTACGCTCAGCATCGGTGATGCGGTTTTGGAGGTCATTGACGGTGCTGCAGCATCCTTGCAAACGAACCACGTCCCGCCGCAGCACGTCCAGTCCCTGGCCATAACGAACGTCCATGACGTTCAGCTGCTTCTCCAGAGCTCGAATCCGCTCTCGGTCCTCGAGCTGCTGTCGGCGCAGATCCTCCACACCGGCCTGGAAAACACACGGCAGTGAATTTAATCTGACTCAACTAAAAGTACCAGTTTTACTTCAGCTACAGTTTGTTTGGTCACTGACGTCTGCTACTGTCTTACAACCAACTCACAAACAAACCAACCAATCAGCAACAACAAAACAAATCATCAGGGTTTTTATTTTACATTTAGAAATATGCTGCATTTCATGGAACGTGTAAACCACGTTCACCACTTCACATTTCCTCTTGTTAACTGAGTTGTTACAGTGAAACATTAAAAAACATCAAGCTGAGTATTTGGTTGTGATTTGAGATTTTGGTTGTGTTGACGTCTTTCTGTTTAAAACAGGCAGAAAACAAGGAAATGTTGCTTCACACGCGACTGTAGTCACATCCTGACCAGCAGGGGGCGCTGTGGTATATTGACTGCAGTTTCCTGATACCTGACAGGAGGAGCAGGACAGCGACACCCTGGTCTCTAGTTCCTTCAGGATCTCCTCCTTCAGCGAGTTCAGTTTCCCTCCGCTCACTCCTCCTCCAGACAAACCTCCGTCCAGATCGTTTCCTTTCCCGTTCACCAGGTGGTTGTTGATACTGACCAGAGTTTTATCATGAGCCTGTCGGAGGAGACAAAGCCGACATGAACACAGCTACACAAACAACTGAGGTGGATCTGTCATCATACAATGTTAAACACGATCTGATGATCTGTGTAACAGGATCCGATCTGTCAGGATCTGATCTATCAGGATCTCACTGAGGAATCAAACCTCTGACATTCTGATTAATGGACGACCCACTCTAACTCCACATCCGGACCACAGGTAAAGATGGAAAAAGGAAAAAGCTGTGACACCTGTGTTCGATTGTCCAGTTGGTCCAGTTTGGTCTGGATGCTGTGAATCGTCTCTTTAATCTCTGGCTGAGCAGCATCAGCAGGGTTTCTTCCTCCTGACGAGCCTCCGCCTCCTCCTCCTCCTCCTCCTCCTCCTCCTCCTCTTCCTCCTCCGCCGACAGACGGATTGTTCAGGGTGGACTGCAGGTCCTGGACGATCCTGGTCAGACTCTGGATCTTCTCCTCCAGTTGCCTCATCTTCTCATTCTCAACTTTTCCTTCAAAAATAAAAAGAAGCAACAGAACAATAACAGGAGCAGTTCATGAAGGTCACCAGCAGAGGTCAGCACAGGTCACATATTACTGCTGTTGTGTGTTGAACTGAGAATAAAAAGTTTCTCGAGTTGGTTTCACAGATCAAACTTAGCAAGAACAACAAGTCTAAAGAATTTAAACACAAAAGTGTTGAGAATCACCCACAAGCATGAGGTCGACCTCAGACCGAGTATGAAGTAAATAAAGTGGTGCCTCATTTAAAATCTTAAAAATAAGATTTTAGACATTTTAAAATAATCCTGAATTTCAGATTCATGTTTAAAATCTGAGAATAAATGGAAAATAAAATAATAACAGATGAAATCTGTCCAGTGAGAAGTGTCCATGATTAAAGATGAGTCTAAACATTAACGCAGTGACTCCACTCACCACCGTGTCCTCCGCTCTGTCCTGGTCCAGAACCTCCTCCTCCTCCTCCTCCTCCTCCTCCAGGGCTCGTCCCTCCTCCATGTTCAGGTCTGGGCTGTGGTCTGTTGGTGGAGACCTGGGGTCCTGCTCCAGCAGCTGGACCTTCGGAGCAGTCCTCTCCGCTGTAACCATGACAACACTTCCACTCCATCTGCGTCACCATTTTGTAGGCCACCTTGTAGCGCGGCCTCATGTAGGTCCGATAACTGCGGAGATCAGTGACACGTTGGATTTTTAATGTTGAACAGAAAAACAACGTTGAATGTTGACGCGACCGTCCAATCACAGCCACCAGGCTCAAACACCGTCATCCTGTGACATCATGACGTGTTCGTGTGACATCATGACGTGTTCGTGTGACATCATGACGTGTTCGTGTGACATCATGACGTGTTCGTGTGACATTTCATGTTCTCAGTAAGAGAGAACGATGTTTTGGTTCCACCTGCACAAACAGGAAGTTAAATCACATAATAAACCTGGACTTGTTCATCCTGTGAAACCACTTGAACTGATGCTGCTGTGACATCACACACTTTCTTTATAGTTTCCTGCCGATCAGAAGATTTTTCTGTATCTGATCTCAGATCTCAGGCAAACTCCTCTTACTTCTCTTCTCCTTCAGTCCACCGCAAATATGTTGGCGAGCGGCTCTCGGCCAATCAGGACTTCTGAAAACTGAAAGTAAAACTTGATTGAATCCATCTGTGGGGCTGCAGGGCAGGTCGACACAGAAGAGAATCACCAGCAGAAACACTGAGGAACAGATGTTAGAATCACTCATGTGAACTGTTTGTTACTATTTACAGTCACAGAGAGCAGGAGGCTCCGTGTGACGACGACTGTGGCCTGATGGTGGCGCTACACAGACAGAAACGATTCCAGTGAACTCCGGGAGCACAGCTGCTAATACCGTCAAATGCAAATAACTACTGACTAACTTACTGATTGTAGAACAGTGATGTCATCATGCACCAACATTCCAGCATGTGTGTGTGTGTGTGTGTGTGTGTGTGTGTGTGTGTGTGTGTGTGTGTGTACTCACACCACCACTCGGCTGCACTGTCCGCTCCCCCAGCTGCAGGGATGATAATCAGGCTTCACATACGTCTCAACTCCGTCCTCGACGACACAACTCACCGTCTTTGTCACCACAAACGAACACCAGTTCCTGTGTCACACACACACACACACACACACACACAGTACAACATTGTTGATGTGTGAGGGGGATTGTGGGTAAAAAAAACCTCAGGAAATGTTCAGCGCGTGGTGGTGATGTCATCAGTGCGTCTTTTTGTGTTTAAATGAAATTATGATTAAAATTCTCTGGAATCCTGAAAAACAAGCAGGAATTCACTGGTTTTTAAATTTAATGTCCGAACGATTAAATGTAGAAAGAAAATGAATCGAGGAGATTTACAAGTTTGTCATGTTGACGCACGATCAGCGAGACTCAGGAACTTTAAACATTTCAAACGTGTCTTTAATAAAAACTGAATTTATTCTGGGTTTTCATGTAACTTGATTTAAATTGAATTTATAGCAGATGTGTCGAATTGACTTGATGTTTTTCAGCTTGTTCTGAATTAGTCAAATAAAAAGAGAATTAATTTATCATGAACCACGAGAACAAACTGTTTTTATGTGATTTTCTCTTTTTCAACATTCAGTCCTGATCTCACTGTCACGTCTCCACCCTCAGTACCAGGACCAGCTTTGACCTTTGACCTCCACAGACTGACGAGAGGAAACACTCGACCTCGTGAGAGAGTATGTTCGTACACTGGTCTCACATTTCTCGTGCATCTGTTCGTACAAACGATAATCACAAACATTTCCAACTCCAGAGCGGCACTTCTATCTTTGTGAGGACGCTCGTTGACTTAATGCAACACGAACCTCAAACATCTCGACGGAGCCGGTCCTCACAAAGATAGTACACACACAGACACACACAGCGTGATGTCACTCTCTCTACAGGAAATGAGTCATTTAGGCGTTTTTGATGATGAAATCATAGACTTCACTCTGTGTGTGTGTGTGTGTGTGTGTGTGTGTGTGTGTGTGTGTGTGTGTGTAAATACACAACACAGACGTCAACTTGTCTCACTCAGAAAATGTTTTATTTAAAATCAATGAGATCAATTCGTGACTTTAACGCTGAGTGTTTTAACATCCGGCCTCATGTTTGGATTTCTATCCCTCTTTTACGTTTTGTTCGCACGCTGAGTTTATAGGAACATTTCTGACGTCAGATTCAACAAACGCTTCCAACTTCAAGTGCGTGAATGACGAACATAAACCTGAGGAACGCCGCCTGTGTGTGTTTGAGCGGCGGAAGTTTTGTCTTCAGAGACGAGATGAGAAACTTCACTGAACCAGTGAACTTCACCTGTAACAGCAGCAGATCTTCAAGAGGTGAAAATATAAAATGGAATAAAGAACAATTCTAAAGAAACAAAGAATATGTGAACGATGTAAACATTTCACTACAGGTGGAAATGTTCTCTGTAGAGAAACATTCACGAGTAAAGTTCAGCGACACGATTGAACGAGGACGTAAACTGAGCTTGAGCCCGAGTGCACGAGGGTATAGAAGTAAATATACACATAAAAACACATATCGACAGAATACAGGGATTTATCGTGTACAATACGAAT